AATACAGCTGGAGCGTGAGAAGGTTAAATCCAGTACCTATGTCCTGTGCTTAAACAAAGGAGACTATGAAGGAATAAGGGAGGAGTTAGCTAAGGTAGAATGGGAGCAAAAACTTTATGGTGGGTCAATTGAGGAACAGTGGAGGACTTTCAAAACAATTTTTCACTGTGCTCAGCAGAAGTATATTCCAGTGATAAGGAAGAACTGTAGGAAAAGAGACAGCCAGCCATGGATGTTTAAGGAAATAAAGGAAAGTATCAGATTGAAAAAGATTTCTTAATGCTAGGGGCAGTAATAGGTAAGTGCGTAGCAAATTAGTGGAATGCATTGCCGGAGAGGGTAGTGGAGTCGGCCTCATTAGGGGCATTTAAGCGGCTATTAGATAGGCATATGGATGATAGTATAAGGTAGCGGTGGAGGTTAGATAGACCTTAGGTTTAGGGTAAAAGTTCGGCACAACATCATGGGCCGAATGGCCTGTACTGCGCTGTACTGTTCTATGTTCTATGAAAAAAAACACATACAAAAAAGCAAAGAGTAGTGGGAAACTAGTAGACTGGGAAATCTTTAAAGGCCAACAGAAAGCCACAAAAAAAGTTACAAAGAAAAGTAAGATAGATTATGAGAGTAAACTAGCTCAGAATATAAAAACAGGCAGCAAAAGTTTCTATAAATATGTAAATCGTAAAAGAGTGGCTGAGGTAAACATTGGTCCTTTAGAGGATGAGAAGGCCAATTTAATAACTGGGAATGAGGAAATAGCCAAGACATTAAACAGTTATTTTGTGTCGGTCTTCACAGTGGAAGACACAAATAACATGCTGAAAACTAATGGCAAGAAGGTTATAGCAGGTGAGGACCTAGAAACTATCATTATCACCAAGGAGGCAGTGCTGGGCAAGCTAATGGGGCTAAAGGTAGACAAGTCTCCTGGCCCTGATGAAATGCATCCCAGGGTACTAAAAGAAGTGATGGGGGAAATAGCAAATGCACTAGTAATTATTTACCAAAATTCACTGGACTCTGGGGTGGTTCCCGCAGATTGGAAAACAGCCAATGTGATGCCACTGTTTAAAAAAGGAAGTAAACAAAAAGCAGGTAACTATAGGCCAGTTAGCTTAACTTCAGTACTGGGGAAAATGCTTGAATCTATCATTAAGGAAGATATAGCAAGACATCGGATATAAATTGTCCCATGGGAACACCCAGCATGGGTTCATGAAGGGTAGGTCATGTTTAACTAATTTGGTGGAATGCTTTGAGGACATTACTTGCATGGTGGACAATGGGGAACCTGTGGATGTGGTGTATCTGGATTTCCAGAAGGCATCTGACATGGTGCCACACCAAAGGTTGCTACATAAGATAAAGTTGCACGGTATTACAGGTAAAGTATTGGCACGGATAGAGGATTGGTTGACCAGTAGAAAGCAAAGAGTAGGGGTAAATGGGGGTTGTTCTGGTTGGCGGTCAGTGGCTAGTGGTGTGCCTCAGGGATCAGTGTTGGAACTGCAATTGTTTACAATTTACGTAGATGATTTGGTGTTGGGGACTAAATGTGGTGTGTCAAAATTTGCAGATGACACTAAGGTGAGTGGTAGAGCAAAGTGTGCAGAAGACAATGAAAGTCTGCAGAGGGATATAGATAGTCTAAGTGAGTGGGCAAAGGTCTGGCAGATGAAGTACAATGTTGATAAGTGTGAGGTCATCCATTTTGGTAGGAATAAAAACAAAATGGACTATGTTTTAAATGGTAAAAAATTGCAGCATGCTGCTGTGCAGAGGGACTTGGGTGTCCTTGTGCATGAATCGCTAAAAGTAGGATTGCAGGTGCAGCAGGTAATTAAAAAGGCAAATGGAATTTTGCCTGCCATTGCTCGAGGGATGGAGTTTAAAAACAGGGAGGCTATGCTGCAGCTGTATAGGGTCCTGGTGAGGCCACACCTGGAGTACTGTGTGCAGTTTTGATCTCCTTACTTGAGAAGAGATATACTAGCACTGGAGGGGGTGCAGAGGAGATTCACTCAGTTGATTCCAGAGTGGAGAGGGTTGGGTTATGAGGAGAGACTGAGTAGACTGGGATTATACTCATTGGAATTCAGAAGAATGAGGGGAGATCTTATAGAAACATATAAGATTATGAAGGGAATAGATAAGGTGGAGGCAGGGAGGTTGTTTCCGCTAGCAGGTGAAACTAGGACTAGAGGGCATCGCCTCAAAATAAAAGGAAGCAGATGTAGGACTGAGGTCAGGAGGAACTTCTTCACCCAAAGGGTTGTGAATCTGTGGAATTCCCTGCCCAGTGAAGCGGTTGAAGCTACCTCGCTGAATGTTTTTAAGGCAAGGCTAGATAAATTTTTGAACAGTAAAGGAATTAAGCGTTATGGTGAGTGGGCGGGTAAGTGGAGCTGAGTCTCAAAAAGATCAGCCATGATCTTATTAAATGGCGGGGCAGGCTCGAGGGGCCAGATGGCCTACTCCTGCTTCTAGTTCTTATGTTCTTATTCCATATGCAAGTCAACAACATCCAGATGTCTGACCTTGCCACTGAGCCTACTGCCTCCGATTTACCACACTGTGTGTCCAAACTCTAATAAATCTTCTTCAATTAAACATTTGGAATTATCTTCCAATTCCACCAATGCAAAATATTAACTGGTTCTGATTCCATTCTACTTCCTGGCCATTCTTTGACGAAGAACCAGATTTTTCAACTTCAGCATTCTGAGAATGACTTAAATTCTGAACAGTTCTTAAGGATTAGAAGGTAGCAACTATAACCGAATACTAGGGGATAATTCTAATCTAACCTGCCTGGTAGGAACTAATCAGATAAAAGTTTCAAACCCTTTCTGGTATTAAGGCCCAGTGTCTGTAATAGACCGTAAAAATCAGATTCTGGGTGTAAAATAGACATTTAACCCAAACTGCCCATTCCCACTGAGCAAGGGTTTGAAATATAAAAATAGACCGGAAAGACTGTGATGTTATTCACTGGAGCGTAGGAGGCTGGGGGAGTGACTTTATTGAGAATTATAAAATCACGAAGGGCTTAGATAAGGTGAATGACAAGGGTCTTTTCCCAATCATGGAGGAATTCAAAATTAGGTGGATACTTTTAAGGGGACAGGAGAAAGATTTAAAAAGGACACCAAGGGCAACACTTTTTTTTACACGGAGTGGTTTGTACATCGAATGAAGTGCCAGGGAAAGTGGTGGACGCAGGTATAGTTACAATGTTTGAAAGACATTTTGATAAGTACACGAATAGGAAAGGTTTGCAGGGACATGGGCCAAGTGTAGGCAGGTGGCACTAGTTTAGTTTGGGATTATGGTCGGCATGGACTGGTTGGACCAAAGGGCCTGTTTCCATGCTGTATGTCTCTAAGTTGATTTAAAATATTGCCCGCCACAACCCCCTTGATGTTTCAGCTTACACAATAAGCCTAATTGTGTAACATTGTTTAGTGGTGCATCATTATTTGATTAGCTACATAAAATGCTTTCCTGGAAGAACAAGTCTGTTGCATTTTATTTTGTGCCCTTAGCACTGTACAATATAGTTTGTTTACTTCTAACTATTCTGATTGTATAACAAGTAACAACAACTTAATCCTCATGAGCCCTACAGTCCCTTAAGTTTTCCAAACCATAATATGATTTTTGGTTTTAAAATGACACCTCAACCCACATCCCAACCTTGTTCTAGCAGCATCCTGGAGAGATATGGTTGAGGAAACAAAACAACAACTCAGACTGGGTCAGACAGGAACGTCCACGTGAAACATTTGGAAGTTGGGTTTATATAAACGGTGAACCAATAAAATTAGTTTCTATTCTTTTTGTATTGCATTGCCTTATCCAATGAGGTGTTTTCCAGTAATCCATTTAAAACCTGCTTCAGCAACAGACTACCACCAGTAGATTATCTGAGGTTTCAGCCTGTAGCATGAAGCTGGTCATATTGATACTCTGAAATCAACAAGTTTGTTCAAACTGATAAGTGGATTGTCAGCTGTAAAAGGATGGTTTCCAGGGTGCGGCCTTGCAGAATTCAGTGTACTGTATCGTTTGTTGTATGGGACTAAAATAAACAATAAAACCTCAATTCAAAACAAAAAACACTGACTGAATTGACCCTCTTGTTCTACTTCTCTATGCTCTCTTTTTAATCCATTTTTCTAAGAAACCTTTAATTTATGTTTTGTTCCATTTCATCAAATATTATCCCAAATAAAAGCAGAAAACACTTGGCAGGTCTGGCAGAATCTCTGGAAACCCAATATTTGTGTTTCATGTGGATGTCCTTTCGTCATCGTCTGATCTAATAATTATCTCTTTAATTTTTTGTTCTTGTTTCAGATTTCCAGCAGAGGCAGTATTTTGCTTTTGTGCTGATGCCTTTCTAAACCTATCAGAGGTTTTAAAGTTTTTACCTGCTTGCTTCCTCCAATTCAGATCACAGGTCCCGTTTACTGGTGGGAGCAATTTTAGTTTTCATTGGATGGGAATCAGCTTTAGAAGCTATTTTTAGCCAACTACTTGTCATCCGTTGCTGGGTCAAGCTTTGATCAGCAGGTCCAGGTGGGGGACCAGCAGAATAGCTTATGCATTGTTTGGAACTTGACTGGTAAAGTCACCTGGACCATTACAGGGGAGGACCAAACAATTGTTAATTCCAGTTTCCTGACAATGTTCATATAAGTGTTCCTTTAAACAACAATCTCCTGCATTTTTGTTAACACTCTCAAGTATTACTGGGTCGTTTTGATAAACAGCTTAGAACCAAGGTCTCTAATTTTCAGTTCTTATGCAAAAATAGATTGAAACACTGAAATGAATCCACAAAGTACCAGCAAAAATCCCTAAATCCCTTGAAATCAAAGGAAAATTTAATTTAAATAAACCAACTTAGTCCCTTGTTGCAGCAAGTTGCTGTACTTAAAAGCTTGTTCCTCTTAGAAATACAAAACTACTGAGATATTAGGATCATGCCTTACCAGTCTTTCTGGGAGACATTTTTGTTGTAAATGTGGCCTGTCAAGTTCCTGTATGGAGGACAGATGCACTTGCATCGCACATCTTCAGAGCTCTAGAGAAACAGTCATAAATTAGTTAAGAATCTCTTCTCACTATTAAACAAAGTTTATAGATATATGGCTACATTCCTGATCCTTAATACTACAAAATAGGTCAGAAGGATTAAGAGCTTTGAGTAAACCCTTCATTATTGACTCTAAAGCAAGGTGATAAAGCAACAGATAGCACTAGTGGTGCAAAGGCCAAAACTGAAATTTAAAGAAAATCATGCAGGTCCAAAGTTTGGCTATTATAAATAGAATTTGCTGCAAATTTACAGTCGAATGGTAATCAGAGTGATGGGGAAAAGAGAGAAAGACAACAAAGAAAGGTCTTGAGAAATAGGGGTGTTGAGATAAATAGGATAGAAAATGTGAGTAACGTTAGCATAGAGGTTATCACAGAGATGTACTTTTGATGAGGACTCAAAAATAAATAAGCGAAGAGTGTTTTGGAATATGACATGGCTCTGATGAAGAATTTAGGACCACCGATGCATCTTTTTCTCTTTTTAGTGAGTTACTTGCTTCCTAAACCATTTACTTCTAAATTATAGAAGAATGAGTCTTTTCAATCAGTTATGTTGAGAATAACTCAAGTCATGATTAAGACAAACATAAACAGTCAACCTTTTGACATAGTACGTCTGGGTGTTATTTGTGGTTTATTCATACAATTCTTAGCTGCGTTGAAGTGGAAGTTATTGATGCAAAAGCGTGTGGTCAGATTATTGTAGAGACAATATTAAGAGAGAGGTACAAATCTAAACAGGGCACAGGAGCAGTCTGACATAGCTAAGCACGTACATACATCACTAAAGGTGCCAGAAAGGTTAAGAGTGTGGTTAATAAAGCATACAGCATCCTGGGCTTTATCAATAGGGGCACCACATTTCAGGAAGGATGTAAAAGATGTTACACAAGGTGCGAAAATGAATTCGTAAAATTTCCTCATCCCTGGAACTAGTCAGGAGAAGTTGTGACTGTTCTTTTCGAAAAGAACGTTGAAGGAGATTTGATAGGGATGATTAAAGTAGAGGGGTCTGCACAAAGTATACAGGGAGAAGCCAATCCCATTGATTTGAAGGATTGAAAACCAAAGGACACTATTAAAACGTAAGTGGCTAAAGAAGCAATGGAGACAAGAAGAAATCTTTTTGCAGAGCAAGAACACAAGATCTGAAATACATTAACTGACTGCATCGCGGAGACAGATTCAGTCAAGGCATTCAAGAGGGTACTCGATTATTCTCTGAAAAAGAATAAAACGCCGGACTATGGGGAGAAGGCAGGGAAGTGACACTAGGAGAATTGTTCCTTCAGAGGGCCAGAGACGCAATGGGTTGAAGAGCCTTCTCCTGTGCTGATTTCAATCCATTTGAGAATGCAGAAAAAACATCCTGCCTGCCTTTATATCTGCTGTGCACATGAATCTGCCTATTTCCCCTCTGAATTATAGGTGCTAAAAGTAAATCAAATGGCACACCAGAGAGGGAGGGATACCGCAAAATCAACTACATTTACGTGGAGCATTTCATTTAGGTATGAAGTATTTTCAAACATAGTCACAGGAAAATATGGCACACAACTTGTACACAATAAAAGTCTCAAAGTGAGATAAGGCTGAGATGTGATTTCCACTAACATTCAACTGAGGCATAAATATGAGAATATTAGGAGAATTCCACTGATGGTGTTCAAAAATTTTTGAATTAAATTATATCCACCTAAATTATATATTATGCAGTTATCCACCTTGGTAGGAAGCACAGAAACGCAGATTTAAAACAAAAGGGTTAGAGACTAATAAATATTGGTATTTGTATATCATGCGATACAGCAAGCAATCAGACAAGAAAATATGTGTCAGCCTTTAAAGCAAGTGGGTTACAGTGTTAAGAGTAAGAATGTGTTGGTACAATTATATAAAACTTCAGTGAAATCATACCTGAAACACTGTAGAGATTTGCTTTTTTTTGCCTAAGGAAAAAATTTACTTGCCAGAGAGGGGGCAAAGATTCATTAGATTGATAACTGTCACAACAGGACTATCTTATTCAGTATTTTCTCATATAATGAGACTTAACTAATGTAGTTTAGATACTTGACATTTGGAAAAGTCTTAGCCGGCTTAAAAGTAAATGCTCAGAGAACAGTTTCTCTTGGCAAGACAGCCTAGAACAGGAGGGGACAGTCTCACGATAAAGAGATCAATTATGTAAGAAAGAAAGGATTTAGCAGGGGTAAGATGTGAGGGTCGGGAATTGACAAGCATAGGAGACAATTGGGTTTGTGCTGGATGTAGAAGTGTCAGCATCATAGCTGGAGGTGAGGATGTGAATGAGCAAATTGATATCAAAAGTAGAATCGGGCCAGCCAGAGGTCCAATGATGAGATCTGGAGGCTTTCCCCTAAAGTTTTTAAACTATATTTTTCAGAAGATGCTGATGGATCAGCAATGTGTTGTTATTGTGTGTTAATTTCATTTCAATGTTTGTTACATTCATACACACACCCAGACATCCAGTGTTCACTATTATTACCCTGTGAAACTACGAGTAATTTCTCCTGTCTGTGCATGCACAGATAAACACACAAATCCAGAAGCTGCTGTTAGTGACTCCCTGCATGGTGCACTGTTTAAACTCTCTCCAGTTGATCTCAATTAGAAATGACCAAACTGGCTTGGACTTCTTCACATTATGCTATTATTCCCATTGTAGAAAGCTTGAAAAAAATCATTTCTTGACAGAGGTGTAATACTAATATGATAATTACACCTAAAACCTTTCTGGCCATGAAAAACTAATTTTGTGTTTGAGAAGTGTCACTTTTCCACAATACAAATTCTACAGATTTTCTTGTTACTTCATTGTTTGCTCTCTGAAAATTCATCAGTTTGTTTAGGTTTCTAGATGGTATCAATCCAGTGGAATACAGAGATCGCCTGTGGCTGGTGGCAAAACGTAACCAATGCCAGAAAAGTGTAACTTTGTGGTACAGTGTCTGGTAGATTTTCTGGGTATGTTTCTTTGACAGTAATTCAGTGCCTCACTTTGTCAATGACTGAAAAATCTAAGCCGTTGATATCTTGCTTTATATACATACGTACATATAATAGAACACAAACTAAAAAGAAAAAGACATGCAATTATATATCATTTTCTTGAACACTGGATATCTAAAACATCTTATAACTAACTTTTGAAGTGCAGTCACTGTGGTAATGTACGTAACAATGACAGCCAATTCACGTTCTGCAAACTCACACCAAAAAAAAAGTCAATATAACCAGACAATCTGTTTCTGTGATGTTAATTGAGGAGCAAATATTGGCCAGGACACCAAAGTTAATGCTCTTGCTTTTCCACGAAACAGTACTATGGGATCTTTTACATCCACCTCAATAGCAATGGAATCAGTTTAACGTAAGGCACCTCTAATAATTCTGCATTCCCTCAGTCCTGCGCCAGAATGTCAGCCTTGATTTTTGCACTGATGGCTTAGAGGAACTTTCAGTCTAAGGCAACAGTGTTACGAAATGAATCAAGATGAAATCTGCATAGTTGTTTTTTTAAAAGATTCTCCCACCACTTTGATGGATGAGACTTCAGCAAAAATAAACAAAAAAATGTGTAGTTTGTTTCATGCAATATCATCATTCAGCCCATTCTTGATTTGCATAACTGACCGCAAAACATGGAATCCCTACAGTCAAGAAGCAGGCTATTCGGCCCATTGAATCCACACTGATCCTCTGAAGAGCATCCCATCCAGACTTGCCCCCCTATCCTATCCCTATAATCCATCATTTCCCATGGCTAAATCAACCTATCCTGCACATCCCTGGACACTATAGGCAATCTAGCATGGCCAATCCACCTAATCTGCACATCTTTGGATTTAGGAGGAGCACCAAGAGGAAACCCACGCAGACACAGGGAGAACATGTAAGCTCCACACAGACAGACATCCAAGGGTGGAATCGAACACAGATCCCTGGTGCTGTGATGCAGCAGTGCTAACCACTGAGCCACTGTGCCACCCGCAAATCCTTCATGTGAAGCCAATGATTTTTGTCATTTATATAAATGACTTGGACGTGAATATAGGGTGTATGGTTAGGAAGATTGCAGATGAGACCAAAATTAGTGTGGTGGACAGTGAAGGAGGTTATCTCAGAATATAACATGACCTTGGACTGATAGGCTGAGGAGTGGCAGATGGAGTTTAATTTAGATAAATGTGAGGTGTTGTATTTTGGCAAGGCAAACCAGAGCAGGACTTATGTACTTAATGGCAAGGTCCTGATGAGCGGTGCCGAACAAAGAGGCCTTGCGGTGCGGGTTCATAGTTCCTTGAAGGCGGAGTTGCAGGTAGACAAGGTAGTGAAGAAGGTGTTTGGTACATTTGCCTTTATTGGTCAACGCATTGAGTATAGGAATTAGGATGTCATGTTGGAGCTGTACAGGACACTAGTTAGGCCACTTTTGGAACACCGTGCTCAATACTAGTCTCCCTGCGACAGGAGAGATGTTGTTAAACGTAAAATGGTGCAGAAAAGACTTACAAGGATGAAATCAGGGTTGGAAGGTTTGAGCTGTCGGGAGAGGCTGAATAGGCTGGGGCTATTTTCCCTGGAGCGTTGGAGGCTGAGGGGTGACCTTATAGAGGTTTATAAAATTATGAGGGGGGGGGGGGCATGGATAAGGTGAATAGCCCAAGGTCTTTTTCCCAGGATAGGGGAGTCCAAAACTAGAGGGCATAGGTTTAAGGTGAAAGGAGAAAGATCTAAAAGGGACCTAAGGGGCAACATTTTCACGCAGAGGTGTGTATGGAATTAACTGTTGCAGGAAGTGGTGGACGCTGATACAATTACAACATTTAAATGGCATCTGGATGTAAACACAAATAGGAAGGGTTCGGGGGATATGGGTCAAATGCTGGCAAACAAGACTAGAATAATTTAGGATATCTGGTCAGCACAGACAAGTTGGACAGAGTCTGTTTCCGAGCTGTACAACTTTATAACTCTATGAATAAGATGCTGGCATTGGCTTTGTGCCACATGCGCCTGTCCTGAAAGCACTTAACTCAGTTATCCTCAAACATCAAAATTGCTTGATGACAGAGAGTTCTCCATTTGTGTCTGACCAAGGTCGTATTTTCCCATGCATTTGCAAACCATGAAATTAGCTTCTGGATTGTCTTCATATCAAACTTGGGGATGTCCTGCTCAGCTGAGCCTTGTAGATAGATACTCACACATATGAGATATAACATATCCACAAGTAACCATATTCACAACATAAATTGTATCATTTCATATACAAGTAGAATTCCAAAGCCTTCACTGGCATAGTACTGATACAGTGGAGGATCCTTGCTCACGGCCCCATTGGATTATATATCATCATTATTCTATATTATATATACTAATTCCCAATGGATGAACCTGTGGAATAGCCCTCTCTCTCTCTCTCTCTCTCCAACACCTTCAGGGCAGAGGCAGAGACTGCGGCCTGGACACCAGGACCTCACCTTGGAGGATTCAGACAACACCAACAGCATCAGCAGGCACAACATCACGAAGAGATTGCTCCCCTCCATGTTCTCCTGACGGACAGACAGAAACTGACAATCTCAGGCCCAAGACACCAACCATCGGCGGCCTCAGGCCTGAACTCTCCTCACCCCCACGCAGCACCGAGCATCAAAAACCCCGCCCTTAGCCTTTTTCCATTGGTGAAGCCTTTCCCCGCCCCTCACAAAGCCACGCGATTATTGGGCTTTAATGATGTCTATCAGTTATGGTTCCTGCCGCCATGCTTTATGGGAGCTGTAGTTCTGTGCCCGCGAAACTGGGCAGTATTCAACGGTGAAACTACAAAGCCCAGAGTGCAATCTGAGTACACTTCTGTCAATGAAACTGCCCGACAGAAGATCAACCCCCTATCTTCACCAGGGAGGACAAATTCTCAGATAACAAGGTGTAGAGCTGGATGAGCACAGCAGGCCAAGCAGCATCTACACCTTGTTATCTCAGATTCTCCAGCATCTGCAGTTCCTACTATCTTCAGGACAAATTCTCAACTTAGTTTAAGCAAACAACCTTTGTTCCATTTGAAAAGTGTGTTTATGTTCGGAATTCTCACACTCCCCATTATCATTATGAGAATATGGACTGAGTTAAGTGTTGTATATGTTAGCAATATTTCCAAATTCTAGCAAGAACTGAGGTAGAAATTACTTATCGACAGGAGGCCAATCTAGTAAAAGGTGCTCTTTTAAGTGTGAAGTTTCCAGAAGAAACAGCTATCCAAGACCAAGTGTCACAGATTTCAACATTGTTTGAGAATGCTGAGAATTATCCTGAGGTATGGGCCATTTGCCACATTGATATAACGGAGAATTGCCACATAGAAGTTCTTCCCATTCTTGTATTTTTATCTCAGTGATTCCTCATCTAATCGCAATGATTTCTGTTTCAATTCAAATTACCCCTCTTTGTTGCTTAAAGTAACTTTCTGTCCTTCCCCACTGCCATATTAACCAATTCACAGCAATTCCGTAAATGTTCGCCATCTCATATGACCCCTCTGTTCCATGATCTAGGCAAAGCCATCTCCTTACTACTCACTGAGATAACAAGGTGTAGAGCTGGATGAACAAAGCAGGCCGAGCAGCATCAGAGGAGCAGGAAAGCTGACGTTTCGGGTCGAGACCCTTCTTCAGAAAAACCTTACCACTCACTACCCACTTCCATCTGCATCTTTACCTGAAGTAAACTTCCACAATGTTGCTTACAGCTGGATTGTCGCACTCCACCTGCACATCTTTTGGCTCCCTATTTGTCATGATAATAATGCATTTAACTGAACTGAATTGAATTGAATTAGCTTTATTGTCACATGTACTCAAATGAGTACAGTGAAAAATTTATAAGTCACCACTTACAGCACCACCTTAGGTACAAAGGATAACTAGGTACAAATTCTTCAGTTACAAGATTAGTTACAGTATAACAATGGCACCAATACATGGCGCTATCTTAGATACAAAGGTACCTAGGTACAAACCTTAGTTACAGAATAGAGAAATGAAGGAAAAAAGTTACAGCTATACACAGTATAATGCAGATGGCACTAAGATTAGTGGAGTTTGCAGATGACACTAAGATTGGTGGAGAAGCAGATAGTGAAGGGGACTGTCGGCGAATGCAGCAGAATATAGATAGATTGGAGAGTTGGGCGGAGAAATGGCAGATGGAGTTCAATCCAGGCAAATGTGAAGTGATGCATTTTGGAAGATCCAATTCAAGAGTGAACTATGTGGTAAATGGAAAAGCCCTGGGGAAAATTGATGCACAGAGAGATCTGGGTGTTCAGGTCCATTGTACCCTGAAGGTGGCAACGCAGGTCGATAGAATGGTCAAGAAGGCATACGGCATGGTTTCATTCATCGGACGGGGTATTGAGTACAAGAGTTGGCAGGTCATGTTGCAGTTGTACAGGACTTTGGTTCGACCACGTTTGGAATACTGCATACAGTTCTGGTTGCCACCTTACCAAAAGGATGTGGATGCTTTGGACAGGGTGCAGAGGAGGTTCACCAGGATGTTGCCTGGTATGGAGGGTGCTAGCTATGAAGAGAGGTTGAGTAGATTAGGATTATTTACATTAGAAGGACGGAGGTTGAGGGGGGACCTGATTGAGGTCTACAAAATCGTGAGAGGTATAGACAGGGTGGATAGCAAGAAACCTTTTCCCAGAGTGGGGGACTCAATTACTAGGGGTCACGATTTCAAGGTGAGAGGGAAAAAGTTTAAGGGAGATATGCGTGGAAAGTTCTTTACACAGAGGGTGGTGGATGCCTGGAACGCGTTGCCAGCGGAGGTGGTAGAGGTGGGCACGATAGCGTCATTTAAGATGTATCTAGACAGATACATGAATGGGCAGGGAGCAGAGGGATACAGATCCTTGGAAAATAGTCTCTGAGGAAAGGTTCTGAGGAAGGGTCACAGGACCCGAAACGTTAACTCTGTTTTCTCCTCCACAGATGCTGCCAGACCTGCTGAGCTTTTCCAGCAACTTTGTTTTTGTTCTTGGAAAATAGGCAACAGGTTTAGATAGAGGATCTGGATCGGCGCAGGCTTGGAGGGCAGAAGGGCCTGTTCCTGTGCTGTAATTTTCTTTGTTCTTTGTTCTGTAACCATAGGTCAGAAAAACAGGAAGCAAAGTTAAAAAGACAAACATCACAGTCTCTCACCAAGGGCTCTCCGCAGCAGGCCAATGTAGGGGTCTGACGACTGGATGGCGCCATGTTCCACACTGGGTTGGTGACATCCCTGCTCTGGGTCGCTGGTTGCCAGTTTGCCGACTTTGGGATGCTGGTCACTGGTACCCCTGCTCGGGGCCTCCGAACCTGCTTCGGAGTCCAGGTGTCCAAGGCTGAGAGTGCAAAAAGACAAAAGACGAGAAGAAAAACCACAGAAGGGAGGAAAAGAGGTAGAAAAAAATTGGGCGGAGCAGGTGAGCTCCAGCTGGTGTGTCTTACTTCGCCAGCATCTTACTGGAAGTAAGATAACTGATAACTATTAATAACTGGTATCTTCAGTGAATGATATCCCATGCTGTGGAGAATTCCCTCCTGAACCCTCTCTACTTTTCATCCTCATGCTCCGTGAATCATCCATTCCCTTGATGTTTGTCTGCAGCTCCCTCTCACTCTAATTGTTCAACATGGCATATGGCTCTCATCTTCTCATCGCCAGAAAAGACAACGGCAGAAACCGAAACAAAAACCGAAAGAACTGCAGATGATGGAAATCAGAAGCTAAACAGCAGAAACATCTTGTCGACCCTGCAAAGACCTCCTTATTATCATCTGGGGACTCGTGCCAAAATTGGGAGAGCTGTCCCACAGACTAATGAAGCAACAGCCTGACATAGTTATACTCATGGAATAATACCTTACAGACAATATCATAAACACCACCATCACCATCCCTGTGTATGTGCTGTCCACTGACAGTACAGACCCGTGGAAATGGCAGAATAATGGTATAGAGTTAGGAAGCAATTGCCCTGAAAGTCCCCAACTTTCACTCTGCTGCCCATGAAATCTCATGGCATCATGTTAGACAGTCCTGCTGGTTGCAACCTACTGTCAATACCATCATCTTCTTCCCTTCAAAGGATGAAACAGCATTTCTCCATGTTGAACAAGACTCGAAGGAAGCACTGCGCATGGCAAGATCATAGGATGTATGCTGGGAAGTTGGTGGAATAGTGGTAATATCATTGAACTAGAAATCCAGATCATTAGGCTTATTTTTTGGGATATGGGCTGGAATCCTACTCTGGAAGATGGTGAAATTGGTGTTCACTAAAATATACAAATAATAGAAAAATTAGTCCAATGTTGACCTAGGAACATTGTCGTTCACTCAAATAGAAATTGCTGGAAAAGCTCAGCAGGTCTGGCAGCATTTGTGGAGAGAATCAGAGTTAACGTTTCAAGTCCAGTGACCCTTCCTGAGAAATGAATCCTGACGAAGAGTCACTAGACCTGAAACGTTAACTGTGATTTCTGTCCACAGATGCTGCTAGACCTGCTGAGCTTTTCCAGCAAGTTCTGTTTTGATTATGTGAGCAGTTAGGAACCTCATGGCGTCATTGGAACCTGAACCAGATTGTCTGACCATCACCACATTGCTAATTACGTGAGCTTGCTGTATCAAAATAGTTGTCATGTTTTCAAAATTTTCCAGAAGCAGTTCATTGGCCATAAAGATATCCTAATGTCATGTCAGGTGCTCTATAAATGCAAACTCTTTCAACCTTTTCTTGGCTTGGTTCTTGCATAAAAATACAGGTTATTATTGTTAACACTGATTGCTGAAATGAAACTATCAGGTCACTTGCCTTGATGAATATGAAAAAATATTTTAAATAAAAAGGGAGCCCATGTTAGTTATATTAGCCAGCGAGAGCTCCATTTTGGCACTAGGAAATCAGTATTCCTCACTGTGCAGTGAGGTTTGCGTGTCGGACAAGACTGCAGTTGAACAGTAGATGGCATGTGAGTATAAGGACGACGCTTTCACACACACTCATCCTGCAGTTTTGGACCTAGCGACTGACTCAGTTCAGAACTCAGAGCCACTGTGCAAAACACATTGATGTTTTGAAGTTTTCAGGAAATGGAGCAAAACTGGACAATCTCAGAAACCACTTTCTTTCCTAGATCAGCCTCCGTGTATTTAATGTTTATTTTTCTTATCACTGTCATTCATTGAGTCATAGAGTTGTACAGCACGGAAACAGACCCTTTGGTCCAACTTGTCCATGCCAACCAGATATCCTAAATTAGTCTTGTCCCATTTTCCAGCATTTGGCCCATGGCCCTCTAAACCCTTCCTATTCATGTACCCATCCAGATGCCTTTTAAATGCTGCAATTGTACCAGCCTCTACCACTTCCTCTGGCATCTCATTCCATACACACATTTCGTTCCACCCTCTGTGTGGAAATGTTGCCCCTAATGTCCTTTTATATCTTTTCCCTCACACCTTAATCCTATGCCCTCTACTTTTGGAGTCCCCACTCTGGAAAAAAGACTTTGTCTATTAACCCTATCCATGCCCCTCATGATTTTATAAACCTCAGGAAAGCCAGCCTTCAGCCTCTGACACTCCAGGGAAA